AAAAAAAGGGAGGTGGCAATAGATTAATAGTCATTGCACCCCACCAGCAGAGAACATACAAAACAATTCGCTAAAGACTTGAGTCTAACAAAAAAAATTCCTCTGCGATTTGGACAGAATGTAACTTTAGGTGCAAGAAAGGCATGTGCTCTCCACCCTCCAACAGAGACTGCTTAAAAAGACATGCTTGAATCCCTTAGGCAGGACTATGTTTAATATCGGACATGACACTGGTTTTGAAGGTACTTCCGAAGTAGAATATGTTCATGTTTTCAACTGTCCTTCCTATATCAGGAGCACCACAGATAACCACGAACTCATTAAAGTACAATTAAAACAAAATCTCAAAATCATAGGAGATGAACACAATAAAAAAACAATATATTTCAATATTCAAAAATTATACTTTCATAACTTTATGACTGAAGCTATCTAAACAAGGTTGTACCTTTCCTACAATTATTTATCTCATAACATTACCAGTAATCTGACGTTCTTTGCTCTTTGTTTCTTTTGTTTCTTTCTTTTCCTCATCTCGTCTTTCTTTCAGCCGAGAAGGAGAAGGAGATGTGGATCTGTGTCGTCTTGGGGACCTAATATTTAATAAGTAAAGATGTTAGAAACAGAGACATACCTGGTCACTGTGTCAATCAGGACAGGTATGTATGAGTGCCTGAAAGGTAAAGGATGAACAAGAAAGAGCCAGGCTCCAGAAAACCAGGAATCCACTCCCCATGGAACAATGAGTTAGAATGTTCTGCCTAGACCCTGACTGGTAAAACAAAAACAAAAACAAAAACAATTCACTTTACTGCTTACTCATCAGTCTCACTCAGCATAGTTAGGGCTAAAAAAATTTTTAGGCAGAAAAACGTAACCAAACAGTGTCTAACAATTACACACAAACACACAAAAAGCTGACTTAAACAGCAATGGATGCTTACTAAAAATCAAAAGTCTATTTTAAGCTTCTTCCAAGATCTCACATTCTTTTTTTTTCACATTCTTGATTATATACTTGAATACATTATCACCGAAAAGTTAATAAAAAACAAAATAATACTAAATGCATTTCTTATTTTGCCAAGTACACCATGTTAAGTGCTTTTCATGTTTTATTTTTCATTTACTCCTAAAGGCAAGTCTAGCAGTAGAAATTACTAACTCTATTTACTAATAGAAATGTTAGGTTCAGAATAAGGTGGACTTAAGTTCCCCTTATTTTGTGAAATTGTAAATCCACTTATAAGAGATAAAAACAAAGTCACCAACTACTTTCTTTGGGACTTGTGGTTAAACCTCTGGTTATTCTCTGCACTCACCTGGAGCGTCTTCTGTGCGGAGATCGAGAGCGACTTCTTCTCCGATCTCTCTCTCGGGACCGGGACCTTTCTCGCCGCCTGCGTTCTCTCTCCCGGGAAGTGGACCGGGACCGCCTACGCTCTAATACAAAAGTGCAAAGCTAAAAATTACCTCAAAGATCTAGAGCTGCGCCGTCGAACAGAAATATAATGCGAGCCATTTCTAGTAGTTACATTAAAAATGTAAAAAGAAAGAGGTCGAATTAATTTTAACAGAATATGTTATTTGGCCCAATATACATCCAAACTATTATAATTTCGACATGTACTCAATATGGAAATTACTGAGATTTTTACTCCTCCCCTCCCCCCGGCCCCGTAAATCAAGGAAATTCAGTGTGTTATTCTGCAGTTAAATAGCACTTCTTAATTCTGATAGACATGGTAAGCGGCCTCATTTAACTTTTAAGAAAATCAAGTCTTGACTAGTTGAAGGTGGTAAAAACTAACCAGGGAGTAGAACCGAGGGTCTATGTTAGATCTCTTGATCGAAGTCATGTGTTCTTTACATCACACTGCCTCATTTATGGGGATGCGGGCCAGAAGACATAACGAGGTGAGATCCCTAGACGCAAGATTCTAAATATCGATTTACCTATTATAAACTGGGAGGAAACTGACACTGAGCATTTAAGAACCAGGCAGCATCACATGCTGAGTGTTATGAAATGTGACATTAATTCTCACGTTTTAAAAGGTGGGTAATTTTACCCGTCCCCCCCCACCCCCCGCCAATTTGGACTCAGAAAGGTTGGATGACTTGCACACCGTCACCTAGAAATTAAGTGACAGAACCACAGTCTGATTCTAAATTCTCTAGCCATAAATATAACAAAAGTTATTGTAGAGGTCAGACAATGGTCAGCGAACTCCTAATTTAGCAGGGGGGAAAAACTGCCTTCACATCGGAGGGCCCAGGTCTTCATCCCCCCATCCACACACACCATCCTCCCCGCTCTTCTCCTCAGGTGTAAAGAGCCCGCCTCTCCGCTGCCCTCGTACCGGGGAGCGGGGGAGAAGAAGGTGCCTCCAATCGAGCCCAGACCCTAATTGCTTCTGGACTCACCCCTACGTGGGGAGCGGCTACGGCTGCGACCCATTCGGAATGCTCCTCCACTTCACACCGCCCCGGAAGCGACTGTGTAACAACTTCCGGGAAGGCCGGGAATTACGCTTTCAACGCCGACTGGAAAACGTCTAAAGCACTCGCGATGGTTCCGGCTTGTAAAGAAGTGAGGCTGTGCTAAACCAGGCTGGAATCACCCGGCCCTGTTCCGATGCCACCACTCCTGAGCCCAGAGATTCCGGTGGGAGCCGTGTTGTCATCTTCGCTCTCCCAGCCCCATTGTTGTGGTGTCTTCCCCATCTTTTGTGTCCACGATGGGCGTACTTGATGTTATTATAGAAACTGAGAAAACCCGTATACCCACTAACCTAACAGTTCTTTTTTCCCAGTTCTTGTCCACACAAAATATTTCATGTCAACCAACTCTAAACATAGCATTCGCAAGCAGAGGGAGCGAGGGGGAAAGCATGGGTCAGAGACTTTATTGTGTTTTTTGCAGGAGGAAATAGCAGAGGCAGGGTAAACGGGTTTCAGACTGACGAGTTTGAATAATTTCAGCGGGTTTGGGGATGTAGGGTTTGTCCAGAGTGGTACCTGTACCTGGTGGCATTAGGGCAGAGGAATATGTTACCTAGCTTGTGAGGGTTTTGGTAAAGAAGGTGGTTGGAGGGCAAGGGCTGCCGATTGGTTGGTTTGCATGTGAAAGACACTCTCCCAAAGTAATTCATTTGCTATCTTTAGGAATTAGCTAACCCTGGGAGGGGCAGCCTTAGCGAGGCCCCAGATGTCAAAATATCAGGAAATGTAAAGGCATGATTAATACAATTATTCACATGAACATTTTGCACACCTAGGGACCAGAAGATTGCTGGCCACCGAGGGATTCAAAGAAACTGTGAAAGTGCACTGATAAAGGAAGAGTATTATGAGGGCACATAAGACTGGTACCTAACTGGTTTTGAGGGAAAGGGTCGTCAAGAAAAGTTTCCAGGAGGAAATGACCAAACAAGACCTTAAGGATGAGTAAAAATAAGCTAGGTGAAATGGGGTGAGGTTTGTTGTGGGGGGAGAGGGAAGAGATTGTGGAAGCAGAGGAGGCTGCATGTACAAGGGAG